AGGCACATTGCAAGGCCAGAATTTCTAGCTTACTAGAGGAATGAGCCAGCCAAGTTACTTTGAAAGTTCCAGCTTCACAATGCTTCAGCCACATTTGATGCCTAGATTGTCAAAACGGGAATAACCACTTTTGACCAAGTAATTGGTCCAAGATTTGGTTTTACTCCTAATATCTCTACAACAAGTGGTTGCCAACTTCCCTTGAATTTCTCAAATCCTTGTTACTTCCATGGCCTATAAAAGGGAGCCTGCAAGCATCACTTCTACACACCTCATTTCCATGCTTTTGCTTTCCGTTTCTAAATTCTTTTCAACTTTAGCTTTTAAGTTTTAATTTCAGCTTTAAGTTTTGTTCTTCCTTTATTGTTTTTACAATTTTTTCTTGCTTATTTTATTGCAACTCTAGTTATTCTAATTTATGTTCTTCTTTCCCGATTCAATGAAAATGAATTCTTTTGTTATCTTCTTTTGCTATTGCATTTATTTTAATTCCATGAGTAGCTAAATTAATTTTTCAACTCTCCTACGAATGGTTTAGTTCCCATCATTTTAATTACATCTATCAGATAGCACGGCGTTTACGCTCAAATTGCTTATCTTGATTGAGTTAATTAATCTGGTTGATTTTAATTGCTGGCCACTTGTTTAAATCACAACAGTTGAGTTTAATTCTGAAAAGGTTAGAGTCAACGGAGTTCATCAAGATAAAACGGGAAGTTACTTAGAAATAAGAACTAAAACAAGATCCTAGACATAGGCTCTCTTACCCGTTAAACATAAGTTGACATTTAAATTGTTTAGGATTCTAGAGTTGCATAGACATATGTAAACACTAGCCTAAACTTCTAAACAAACCAAAAGCGATATGGAATAGAAGTTGAACCAGTTTGCATAAATTGAGCGTAATTACGGACACATTTGATAGGTGTAATTCATCATTTTAAAACTAAACAAAAGTAGGGGGTTGTGTTGGCTTTTTGGCCTTAATCTCAAATTAATTAATTTTAATTAATTAATGTTTTGATGATAACAAACTTAATTTTATTTATTGACATTTTTTGTATTTTAAAGTATCCACAGTGTAGAGTTCGTTACAACGATTCCAACGACTGTTAGATCATCCAAATCGGAGCTCAAACGGAGAAGTTACGATCGAAACAAATTGGAAGGAAAAATACCCGAGAAGATGACGTGAACAATTCGTAAGCTGACAAGTGACAAGCTTCTGTATATATATATTGAAAAAGAAAAGAAAAAGATTAAAAAAAATAAAAAAAAAAGTCAAAAGTTACCAACGGTAACTTTGTTAAAAAAAATAAAAAATAAAAAATAAAAATTGAAAACTTTACCGTTTTCTCACATATATATATATATATAAAATATAATATAATATAATTAAAATAACTTATATATATATATATATATAATATAATATAATATAATTAAAATAATTTGTCACATCTCTCTTCTTTTATATATATATATATTTTTTTTTATTTTATCATTATTATATATATATATATATTTTTTTTTCCAAAATTATCTCAACCCTTCATTTTTAATGATTAAGATCTAATGGTTCAAAATTAAACTTGATTTTTTTACCATTTTCTTCCCTCTATTTAAAGGGAAATTTGACTCAATAGGCGTTCTGTAGGACCTTTTTTGTTTTTTAAGCGCCCTTTTGAAAATAAAAGTTTTCTAGTCATTTGATAATATGAAATTACATATTTACCCTTCTTTCACTATTTCTCTATCTCATTTTTCATTTTTCTCTCTCTTTCATTATTATTTCTCTTTCTCATTGTTCAACTTCTTCTCTCCCTATCTTTCTTTCCCATTTTTTCTCTCCATCATCTCCCTTATTTTTATAAAGTTATACAGAATCTGCCACTTTCTCGTTCCTTCCCTCTTTTTCCATAATTTTCTTCTCCCCTCCCACTTCCTTGATTTTTTTCTGTTATCTTTTTCCCAAAATCCCAGTTGAGAAAAGCTAAGGGAAGTTTAGATTTTTCAAAATATTTAGCAAATCTCATAGAAGACGATGACGAGGGAGGAGATGCTGCTGGCACAAACGTGAGACCCACCGTCGAAGAAGAATATCACCGGAAAACGGAAAATGCCTAGAGGGGGAGAGGAAAGAACGGGAGAGAGCGAGAGATGAGGGAGGGAGGGAAGAACGAGAACGAGGGAGAGCGACAGATGAGGGAGAGAGAGAAGAACGGGAGAGAGGGAAGAGAGAGAATTGAATTTCTAATTTAATTTAATTACTTAAAAATCTATTTATAGAACGAATAATTATGGAATAAATTTCATAAATTATTGAATTAATTATTAATCTAAATAATTATTAATAAAATTTGGTTAATTTAAATGAAATCATAAACAAAATTAAATGTAAATAAATMAAATGTTGGGTAAAATTCAAATTCAAAATTATTATCAAATAATTTAAAAGATTAAAGATTTTTTAATTAAAAATTTGAAAATTAGAATTAAAGAAAATAGAATCTCAATCTCATTTTAGTGTATTCATATTCAAATTTCAAATTTAAATCAAATTTGTTTAATATTTTTTTCTTCTTCCTTAAAATCTCTCCTTTAATCTCCTAAATTAATAAAACTCAAGCAAACTCAAAATCAAAACTAAGATCACATCTTAAAATTACGTTCAATAATTAAATTTTCTAAATTTCCAAAAAACCCACCATCGCACAATCTTCAATTTTAATTAATTTCCCTCAATTTGTTTTTTCACATCAAGTAGAAAGAGAAAAGAAAAAAACCCATGTAATGATAGGGGGAAACAAAATAATTAAATTTGAAATTTGAAAATGAAATAAAACTTAAATTACGATAGAATAAATGAGATTTAAGAAAAGATTGAGGAGAAATTTAAGGAAACAAATTTAGATTAAATTTTAAATTTGAATACCAAATTACTAAAATTAAGGAGATTGAGATTCCAATTTAGATAACGTTTTATCCCAACTTTCTCTCACTCCCTCACTTTTCTCGCTCAACTTTCTCTCTCTCTTTATCTCCTTCCCATCCACATGTTAGGCTGAACTTTCTTCTTCCTTGAGCTTTCTTCTTCGGCAAATGACATCCCTCGTCGATTTTGATGCACCCGTCGCTGGCTTTACCGGAATCATGGAGGCTGCTCGTTAAAAAGAAAAGAAAAAAAGAGAGAAGGTCGAGAGATTTAGGGTTTTTTAGGGTAAAGAAGAAGGTAACGAGAAACCCAAGAAAATTTTAGAGAGGATGAGGGAAAAAAACCCATGGTGGAAGAGAGAAAGAATGGATTAATGAAAAATGATAGAAGAAAAAAAAATACAGTAAAGAGAGAAAGGGAAATAGAGTGGGGAAAGAGAAGATAAAGAGAGAGAAAAGTGGAAAAATGGTAAATACATAATTTCACATTATCAAATGCTTAGAAAACTTATGTTTTGAAAGGGCAATTAGAAAACTTAAAAAGCTCTACGGAGTACCTATTCCCTCAAATTTCCCCTATTTAAACTAAACTTCTCTTTCAAAATTACACAACAATTCTCTTATTCTCAATTCTCCATAACTTCAAAATTCTCATTTTGCTAATCTCTCCAAGTTCTCAATTTTTCTTTCCATCTTATTTGTGAGAGAAATTTTATTGTTGTGAGGATTGAAACTTTTGTGAGCTCAAATTTGTATATTTACTCTATTTGAGAGTTTGTAAGTGTGTGTTTAAAAATCTTCAACCCAGTGTAACGGTGTGATCCCCACCGTGGAGAGGATCGTCTTTGCTCTTGTGTGAAGAGCAGTGTACCGGTTTGACCCTACCGTGGAAAGAGTCAAAATTTCAATTTACAACCCAAGAGGTGCTTGGGAAATGGAGTAGGACAGTTGTGCCGAACCACTATAAAAATTCCCGGTGTCAAATTTCTCTAACCCTCTCTTTTATTTATTTTTGCATTTAATCTTAGAATTTTATTGTTTGCTTTAAATTTCTCTTGTTTGCCAGAGAATTTATTTTATCTTACTTTGTTAACATTGCATATCTCAAAAAGTGTATTATTTTTGTTTAAATTGGGCCCATTTATTAAAAAGTTTATATTTTGTTAATTAAACCCTATTCACCCCCCTCTAGGGTTGCCATACCGATCCAACAGGTTGGCCTTTTAAATTCTATAATTTCCGTGTGTTTTTCGTTTTCATCCAATCTCACCAATTTTTCTCACAAACCTGATTGCTCATTCTAACTGTTTTCAAATTCAGCTTCAAAAGAAAAACTAGTCCCTGTGGAGACGAACTTGGAATATTTCCAGATTATTACTTGTAACAGTGTGCAATTGCACTTACCCTTTAGCTATTAAGCAGAGGCGCAACAAAGTGTCGTGTAGCTTCAGCTACTTAGGTAAAGCCCTTCCCTGGTTGCCGACGACTTTAGCTCTTTTTAGGCCTTCCGTGTGCCTAACTTTGATTTGCTCTTGCGCAGCTCTTCCCCGACTTGTTCCTAGGCCAAACGAGCTAACATCTGATTATCTCCAGAGAATCCTCAAGCTGCCTCGGGGCGCCCGACATTACCTAGCGCTCCTTGTGGACGACAACCTTTACGACTGCGGCCTACAAGTCGATGTAGAAGCTAACCCGGACCTTCGCACTCCGAGTCCTTCGAGGTCACTTTCACCGCTCCTTCCCCAATCCGCTCTGAAGGTATGTCGCCCCTTCTTTCTCTCCCTTCTTTTAGCCTTGTGAGTGTGAGCTGACCTGTAGGTCTTCTCGCTAATATGCTGTCAGCGTTTCTGTTGGGGAGGAAGAGAAAGACGACCGAGCTGAGGAGCAGCTCCTTGCCCATTGAGGTCTGCGACAAGGAGGCCCCAATGGGGTCAACCCCCTCTTCTTCGTGCCCGGATTCCGTGATCAAAGAAGCTCCTCTCCAGATGGTCCACACCTCACCGGAGAAGAAGAAAAAGAAAAAGAAGA